ACACACACACACGACGCGCGCACACACACCACACACACACACACACACACACAACACACACACACACACACACACACACACACACACACACACACAAACACAGCGAGAGAGAGTGAGACACTCGCGCACGCGCATGCTAATCGAACCACTGTAAAACCACGGAATAGCGCTTACCGCGAAGTTCTGAAACAGCAGCTGTTCGTTGTCGCGCAGCATGGCGACGGGCGGCAGCGCGTACGCTGCCGTCTCGTTGTCGACACCGTCCGCCTCCATCGAATGCTCGACAAACACCTGCAGGCACGTCCACGGCACGCACGCGTCGCAGCGGCTGTACTCCGTCAGTGTCGAGTTGACTACTCGGCAGCGCGTCGGCCTGAAGTCGCGCACCTGCAGGAACGGGTTGAGCAGGAATAGGCCGCACATCATAATTGTCGGCACGGTGAGGCAGAGCAGCACGAAGCAGCAGATGCAGTACGAGTAGCGCTCGGTGCCGCGCGGCGCGGCGCGCGCGATGACGGGCGTGTACGAGCGATCGGAGCCATTGCCGCCGAACGACGTGACGCTGTAGCCGCCGACGCCGCTGACGCTGCCGCCGCCGCAACTCACCGAGTCGTAGTCGCGCTCGAGGATGGGCACCTGCAGCGTGTACTTCTGCGCACACATCTCTCTAGCGGCGGTTAGCTGCGACACTAACGGCAGTGCGTACGCTTCGATGTGAGGCGGTTTCTCGGGGCTAAGCGGCGGGGAGAGAAGCTCATCGGCTGCGTTGGGAGGACAGGGACGGGTCGACGGCCTTAGGAATCGGACGGATGAGACAACAACCGTTGACCGCAGAAGACAGCAGGTGACAGCAGATGATAGCAAAAGGCAGTGGGTGACGGCAGGTGATAGCAGAAGACAGCAAGGTGACAGTAGATGATGGCAAAAGACAGCGGGTAACAGCAGAAGAAAGCAGAAGACAGTGGGTGACAGCGGGTAACAGCAGAAGACAGCAGAAGACAGTGGGTGACAGCAGGTGACAGCAGATGACAACGCGCCGCGCGCACAGCTCTGAAACGGAAGCGTTAGATGGAGAGTCCGGCTAGGTGTCGGCTGACTGACGGTGTTGCGTTGTTCTCGGCTGTCTGACGGTTGTGCGTTGTTGTCGGCTGACTGACGGTTGTGCGTTGTTGTCGGCTTACTGACGGTTGTGCGTTGTTGTCGGCTGACTGACGGTTGTGCGTTGTTGTCGGCTTACTGACGGTTGTGCGTTGTTGTCGGCTGACTGACGGTTGTGCGTTGTTGTCGGCTTACTGAAGGTGTTTCGTTG